TATATATATATATATATAATGGGGGGCAGGGCTGTGTTATAAACCGTTAGTAAAAATTTGACTATTTACAAGACTAAAGTATTCTCCATAATTTTCCCAAGAAATTATGTTTTCAACAAAAAAATGGGTCCTGAAATTAAATCTTAGAAACACTCTAACGGGTTATAAATACTAGTTTTAATGACATTTAGAAGAGTGGTACCTCACAAGCACAATGTTGACTTTAAGCTACAAAAAGTGATATCGGGCACTGAGCACCAATGTTTTACTCTAAAACCCATTGAATTATTGCTTAAGTTGTTATTGTTGATGCTTGACGAAATTTATAAAGGTTTTTGGATGTTTTTATCACTGTGATTAGGCTATTTGAATTGTTTTACTTGTTAGTACCCATTTCAGATTAATAAAGTACAGTAAAATCTGTCTATATTGGAACTTGTACATGTTGGAAACCTGCTGTAAATGAAATTTTGTTTGAGGCCTGTGAAGTTAAATGGCATTTTACATAGCATAAAACGGAACCTGTCCAACACGGAAAAAGAATGATTTACCATGTCCTATGGGGAAAAACTTTATAAAACAGAATTTATATCAATTTAGTGAATTTGGCAGAGACATGAAATATTCTAAATGAAATGAATGCATCTCCAAGGCTGTTTTAAATTTTCTATTCCTGTGACATGCGGTTTAGGTACACAGTTAGACCTTTGGGTCGCTTGATTCTCAAGCCATAATCCATAGAGAAATTTCCTCCCTCCTGAGTCTCTGAGCATGGGAAGATGTATGGTATGACTTCTATTCACGCATCTCCCTGTTCCGCGTTGAAAATTGTAACCCCTGAGCCAAAAGTGCATCGTTCGGAAAGTCATAGTACTCTGGGCTGTGACGCATTCTGTGTCGAGTCAACAAGCAGGCTGACTGCAGTCACTAGGCAGTGAGGTGGTGGGTATTTTTATGGGTTTCACAACCAGTTTAACAATTGTTGGAAAAAAACCTAAAACTCTAACTTTAGATCAAAAGGTTAAACTTATTTCTATGTTCTTTCTTATCCGCAAGAGAGAAACTGAAGCTGTCAATGAAAATGTTTAATATTACTTTATTGGGGATTTCTTCCGTAAATACGTTATTTGCTAAAGTATTTAAATAATTATAATAAAGTCGCACACTGTACTAGTTTCAGGGTGGAAATATCAATATTACAAGTGTCATAAAATAGACAAACCTGCATAAAACAGAAACCTCCCTAAACCAGAATATGTTGTCGTGATCGATTCCGGCTTGGACAGATTTTACTGTATTCACAAAGCCTTGATTTTTCACAATAAAGAGAATGGTTTTGCTTAAGAATCTTTATAATTTACAATTTGGTTTAATTTGCTTGATAACTCATCACTATTCCAGCTTTATCAGATTGTCAAGTTGCTATGAAAGTTCCAAACCAAAATCCTCTACAAAAACCAGGGAATGAAAATCTTTGGGCTTCAGCGGATAAAGCAATGTCTTTATGGAGTGTTAAAAACATTGAACTAAAGAATATTAATAAAGTAAGTGAATGGTGTATTGTTTTAACAGTATTTATACATCTTTTGTCGCATTGAATATTTAACTTTTCTTTCCTCCTTTGTACCAATATTTAAGTACTTATAGGGACAACTTGTTTAGGGTTATAGGATGGTAGGTTTCCTCAGTACTAGCCTTTTGTGAGCATTTGCTTCCCCACTTACAGGGCATTCTGCTCATGGTGTGCTGTACTGGGGGGTAATAAGAGATTTTACTGATGTTTCTGGAAGCAGGGAGAAGATGGCGTGGCAAGCACCATGCTTCATGCACATATTTGTCCAATATTTATGTTATTAAAGCCAGTAAATGTTGGTACTCCTTTTCGAAGCAAGCTGAGTGGACCTCAGAATGGCCCTGAAAAGGACAGATACTAGACCGGATAGCCAATACGACACAGATAAAAATCCCAAGCTTTGTTGGGGTTTCAACCTAGGTCTCTCAAATTAGCAAACATGCTGCAATGACTCCCCTTTTTTTTCCTAATTCCACCAATGTTTTTACATTCTAATGATTTTCATAAAGTTTGTATCAATACCTATAAATATAGTTGCTGTACTTGGTTGTGTACTGTTTCTTATTCCAAGGAACTGAAGTCTAAATTTTGGTAAAATGAAAATGAAACGTCCCTGTAAAAATTTAGTGTAATACTAAAATAGGTAGTAAGTAATTAAGTCATAAAAAAGATTATTGTGTGGAAATTCTGCTATAATTGTATATATTGCCATGGGATTGAACAATTTTCTAGAATGAAAGACTGTTGGATGTTGAAGAAAGGTCTGAAGAGTGGAATATAACAAAGCGACCTCGTCTTGAAGGTGAAATAGAACAGCAGCCAATAAATTTTGGATCTAAAGAGACCGATAATTTAAATACATTGGCTTTTGATCAGCAGAGTAAGATAACATTTGAATCCAATATTCATAGGTGGTTCAGAAAGTAACCTCCATTTGGCTATAGAAATAAAACCAGAATGGTTTGTTTTGAATCATTGTTTTCACCTTTCTTATAGTCCAACAGTGGACTTCAGAAATGGCATGACCCCACATTATCAACTGATGATTTGTTTCAATGCTAACGTATGCCACCAAAGTCATGTCGTCGGTCACAATTCTGTTAAAAAATTCTTCTTCAAGAGTCATAATGAGAAAAAAAAAGTCTAGGGATGAGATCTGCCTATTTGTTTTGTTTTATTAATCTCAGTCATTAACTTTGGTATCCCAAACACAACATTACCTGCCTAATTTTTCAGTGACTGCATTGTACAAAACAGTCCAAGTGACTTGAGGAAAATGTTTTGAAAGTTCAGACATCACGAATCTACTGTTTCAAAACCTTTGCATCAATTTTCTCAATGAGATCAGAGACTGCAGAAGGTCACTGCTCCTCTCTTCCTCATGAGTATTGCTTCTTCCTCTTTTAAAAAATTGTACACACTGATGCCACACGTTGCACACAGTTTATGATGAATATAGGCTGCAGAAACTTTTTTGTCCAAAGGAATCTTATTACACCATGGATTAAACATTTGGCTCTTTTTTTATTATTATTATTATTATTATTATTATTATTATTATTATTATTATTATTTTTTATTTTTTTTTTAAATTTATTTATTGCAACACATGTTTTAGAGTAATAATTGCACTTTGCACAGCTGGAAGCATACTAAGCCTGTGCATGCAAGAATTACGTTTTCCCCCTCTCCAGCTCAAAAAAAGTTATGCAACAATGGAAGTTACTTTCAGAATCTCCCTTCTATATGCTTTTTTTGCATGTGCAATAGTGTTTCCTGTATTCTCCTTAATCTAAAAATTTTCCATTTAATTAATAGATTTATTATTATTATTATTATTTAAAAAAATACATTTTTTATTATAGATAATTCTGATTGTGATATTGCTCATGTAATAAATCCAAATTCAGAGAAGAGACCAGTTTTGTCCATGCAAACCAATGATCTCTGGGCATCAACAGACAAGGCCATGGGTTTATGGAGCAGAGGCTGTGTGAAATCAGAGTCAGGTGATGTAATTGAGGTTAGTTCTGTGGAATATTTACTGAATTGAAGTTATTGTACAGATTTATTTTTGTTCTTGCAGTTCATGTGGGTGATGCTGAAGTGAGCCCTTAGGAGATGAAGTTAATGGTCTAGCTTAGTTTTGCTTTTAACCTGTTTTGGCATTTTACCTTTTACAAAATATTGGATTTGGGTACTGGGATAGAAAGGGGGTGGAAAAGTAAAATAAATAAAACTGCCCCAGGGAATAAAAAAATTTGTGTGCTGAAAATCATAATTAAAGAGTTAAAAAACAAACAAATGTTTTGCTGGATTTTAATCAATTTACCTCGAGTACTGAAACAAATCATACTGAAAAAAAACTTTTTCTTAGCTTCTTATTTCAGTTTTCATTTTTTTAAACCACATTACACCTATGAATATTGACTTCCTTTATTCTTGCGATTTTGTATAGATGATAAAGATGTTTTGAGAATTTTTTCAGGGTTTTTTAAGTCCTATATGTACCCTTACAATCAACAAAAAAGAAGGAAAAATAGAAAAAAGTAATTTTCTCCTTAGTTTCTTAAGAATATCTTGTGTTCTGATGCAGATCATAAAAAGGACTAAATACAAATTGTAACCCTATAAATTCTTTACAGTTTCCCAAAATTTCAACCTGTATAATTTGAACTTGATTGCTTAATATAAATAAAACAGTAATGTAATAGTTTCTTATTTATTGTCTTAAAATTAAGTTTTGTTTTATTGACTTTTGTAGTTTTTATGATTTATGTTTATTAGAAAAGATAAGTAATGAAAAACAAAATTGTAAGAATAATATTATAACCTGTTGTAATTTGAATATTGAACGAATTAATATTTTAAATAACAGGGCTACAATTTGGAAATTGGCCCTTTTAGGATGTGCATCAGAACATAGAGTTATTCTTTTAAAAAAAAACAAAGGAAAAAAGTGCTTTTATTATTATTATTATTATTATTGGCTGTAAGGGTCAATATCAGACATGAATTCCTGAAAAAGTTCTCGCGACATCTGTATCTTCTATAGAAAATGGCATTGACAATGAAAGTCGTTACTCATAGGCTTAATGTTAAAAAAAATAAATTTATTTAAGAAGCCAAAAAAAACTTTGTTTTCATTTGCAAAAGTACTCCAGGTCAATTGATTTAAATCTGGCGAAAACTTGTTTTCTGTTTTTTACTCTTCTATTATGATTTTCAACACAATAATATTTATTCTCTGGGGGCAATTTTGCCTATCTTATCCTGCCACCCACTTTGAATGATATTAATAGAGTAGCCATAAACCCCATGTAACCTTGTATGAAATTCATTCAATAATATTTTGGATTTGATGTAATTAACTTGTTGCACAGCCAGCATTTAACACTAGAACACCCAAGCATTGGAATTAGGTGGTACCATGTAAATATACATTCACGACTGATTCAGTGGTACTCGGTACTATACACCTTGTTTCAAAACAGTTTTATAAACTTCCCACCAACAATGTGATCCCTATTTATCATACACTGCTATTCCTCGTCACCATGACAAACTTCACCTCCGCTAGCAACCTCATCTTAGCTAATGCCAACTTCATCTAGCTAAAGTTGGAAGTATGTTTTGAAGCTGGTATATTTTAGACTTTATCCTACCATTCTGGAACTGGCTAATTGGGGTATTAGACAGATATGGACTTACCCTCTAATAGTACATAGTTTAGAAAAAGGGAGCTAATGACCTCTACAACAACTCTTTGTGTCTTGGTGATGCTTATGAAGTTGTGATGATATACATGCAGCGAGATAATCGAATAAATACAAAAAAAGAAAACCCCTATGAGACTATATGTGTGCAGAAATTTTGAAAAATTACAACACCCTCTACTGATTATCTGTCAGATATTATTGATCAGGGAATAAATAGCAGGTGGTATTTGGTGAAAATCCTGTGCATGTTTTGGGCTCTAGTGTTTACAGACGGATCACTGAAAACCACCAACGAAATGACCCAGCACCCATTAACGCCCCGTGGATTCTGGAACATGTGGATTCTCACTACACAACATATTAGAAAAGTAATTTACAGCATAGGAGCAAGAAAAATCCACATTTCGGGAAATCTCATAAACTGCCATTGGTCTCAGTGTCGTTAGATCGCAGGGTTCCTAGTCAGTCACCCAACCAAGAACTCACAATGTCTCGAATTTGCTTAGCCTGCATGACTTCACGTAGTTAACAAATTCGGCTAGAGACACCAGTTTCATGGTCGTGACCTTTCAGTAGAAACATCCCAGCATTTGCCTGGATGACTGAAGGAAACCACGAAAACACCGGTTAGGATGGCTAGTATGGGGATTGAAACCGAGCCTCCCGAATGCGAAGTCTGCACGCTGTGCCCTAAGGCACTTCACTTGGTTTTGCAGCATTAGGGTCCCACAAAGAGTTTTTTGTTGTAATATAGGCATATTGTCCTGCAGAATTACAAAACTTCTCTGCACCATGTAGTAATATACAAGAAAGTGAAAATATGTTACAAGAACTTCATGAACCACCAAAAATATTCCATAATTTGTCATTATGTCTGATGATTATACATGGTGTCGAGACTTACCCACATCAAATTGAAACCATGAGTTCAGGTGACCACAAGTGACATCCCCATTCGATTCTGCATTGATGCTGAGCCACAGTAAATGCTGAGATGCTTTTGCACCAAAATTTTATATAGTCTTTTTCATTATTAGATAATGCATAAATGGTGCGGGTAAGTCTGGACACCTGTAAACAATGACCAGCATATTAAAATATTTAAACAAGCACATACAGTTTGCCAGTTCAACTGTGTGGAGTTCGGAAGTTGTTTCCCGGGTGATCGAACCGTCGATCGCCAAGGCACGGTCCTGGGCGTTCCCCTGACCCGGCAGAGCAGGCTGTTATGATTATGATAATAATAATAATAATAACAACAATAACAATAGCAATAATAATAATAACAACTTAAAATGAATAGGCCCATTTGAACCACGTGTGCATGCACCCTGAATTTACTGGGGCTCGGTAACATCTCGGTGGCAGATGCATATAATTTATCATGGGATCAGTATTTACCTACATCTGATTTTTATCCCCCAGATTTGTTAGAACCAGGTTTGGAAGATTGAAATGATGGTGAGTGGTGAAAGGACAAAACACACACACACACAAAAAAAAGTACAAAAATAAATTCAGAAAAGCAATACCTACAAGTATTAAAAAGATTAATAATGCAAATGAACAACCAAAAATAAAATAAAAACTCAAATAAGCCAAAATAAAAATAGATAAAATGTGTCCATCTGTACTGCATACCCTTCTTTTCTCACTTCACTTCACTGCAGCTTCTTTCGGTAACCAGCTGGTTCCTGCTGTTTCTAGTGTAGAGGTTCTGAATAATAAATATATAATATTTATAAAAATAAAAATTAGCCGTTACTCTGCAGTTTGTTGAGAAAATCAAATAAGTATGGATTGAAGAAAAACTTTAAAAAGTTCCAAGAACTTGAACCTTAGGTAACCAAACATTAATCTTTGTTATGCTGCCCATTTGAATATAAAGGATCAAATAATAACTCTCACCTTCCACATTCTTTGTCATTGTGTATTTTTTCTGACAGTAAAAAAGCTTTGTTTTAAGGAAATTGTGTATATTGTAAAGATTATCAGATTTGATACTTGGAATGTGTGGCAGGTTTGCATTGTAGGCAATGTCCTTTTCAACCAAATGCAATAACTTTATGAATTCTTGGTGTAGTATCTTTCAGTGCTTGACTCATTTTTCCAGGGAGGAAAGATTTAGGAAAAATATATGTTCTCATGTCCATTTCCTGGGACACAGCATCTTGACAACCAAGACCTTGGTCATGACCACTTTTACAACTAATACAGATTTCTTTGTTCAAGTCTTACATTTGACTTGTATGCGCAGGGAGGAGCTCATTTACTTCAACTCAAGTGTAGCACTAGAAATGAATCCACAAGGAAGACCATAGAGGCATCATCTGCTAAATGCAAATTAAATTTGCAATCTACAAAATCAAGTACTTCTCAATCAAAAATATTAAATTCATCTTTCCATACTGTAAGCAGTCAAATGGGATGTAAGGAGAAATCAGGTTTTGTGAATTTCTGTCGTGAGATGCGACCCAAAAGTATGTACTATACCAAATAATGAAATTAATATATAAAAAATGCTCTACAATATTAAATGTTTCCTTTTTTTCAGTTTTAGCCGAGAAACCAGGAATATGTTTTACGGAGGTAGCCAGAGTTTTATCTAACAAATGGAAAGCATTGTCAAGTGAAGAACAAAATTCCTTTTCTAAGAATGTTGAGAGTACAAAAGTCAGTATCTCAAATGTACAAAATAGGTCCTTGCATGATATGTTTAAAACACACAAAAAAAAGAAAATTATGAAATCAACTACTTTCCAAGTTTTGGCAAATGACTGGAAAATTTCACAAGCCAAGATGTAAGTACAGTAAATAAATGTGTGTGGATATAGAGGGGAGACTGTTGTATCTTCGAACATTAGATATAATTTTAAGTACAAATCACTTGTTTTTCAAGTTTCAAAATATATAATTCTATAAAGAAGCATATTTAGTATTGAAATGTTTCCTTAATATGAATAACATACAACACCTTTTCAATTTTTGCAACAAAAAAAAAAAAAAAAAAGAACATTCGGAAAGTTGTTCAGAGGTACATGATAGTTTTGTACTTATAGGTAAAACCTTGTGCACAATTCAGCTTATTGTTTGAGTGAATATAAAAAAAACTTACGGAAAATTGTTTACTTTGTGTAATAACACACTTGAAGTTTGGAAATAATGTTTTTCATTGTATTTATACAATGGAACACATGAAATTAATTTCCAAGTTTTAAGTATGCTATTACACAATACAGTAAAAACTGTACAGTGATAATTGAGACAGGGAACCTTTATTTACCATTCAGAAACAAAACAAAGAATATCTCAGCATTTGTTTAAATAAAACTTTCTTATTTTTTAATTTTTATTTTCCCTTTCTTTTCAGAGACACTTCATTAGCTGATAATTCTATGACATTTGCAAAACAAGAGTTGTTTTATATGCTGCCAAAAGGAATATGGATTTGCAGAATAGGTAAAGAAGTTGGAATTGTTCATCCGTGGTGTTTACAAGAAACAATCATCTACAAACAATTGATGGAAAGTCAGTCTGTACCTGTAATTCTCCTGGATAAACCTTTATTGATTAAGAAAGAGTGAGTATTTTTTAACTGGAAAAAATTGAAATCGGTCTCCCTTTTATGGATATTTTTAAGCTGTCTCAAAGGTGAGGAGTCCCAGATAATTTTGCAGGAAGACAATTTTTGCATACCTTTCTTTATTTTTCATTTTTCAACATGATTTGCAACACATTTTGATGATAAGTTGTCCCTTGAAGGCTAAAATTTCAAACAAATTACATTAAAATTTAAAAGAATAAACATTAAAATCTAGAAATAAAATTTATAAAAAATACAAAAAAAAAAAAAAATTATTATATACAGATCACGCTTACGAAACATTGTAGAGCCCATAAAATGAAATTTTTCAGAACAATACTAACAAAAAAACACTATTATGAAAGGTTTGTTAACAAACATGTAAACTAAAGGCTTAAAGTTTTTTAAATAAGAAATAACAAACTTTAAAAAGTTCAAAGAAGAAATTATTCAATCTCTTGTATTACCTTTTGTTCCTACCATTAATAATAAATGTGAACATATTATGAAAGACTATTAAGACATATTCTGAAAGAGTATTATCAATGCTCAGTTTAGATTTAGATTTATTGAGTCAAAAAACTAAAAACTGTATGTGACGTTTGGGGAGAAGATCATCTGTGCCCGTTTTCTTGAGTTCCAGATTACCTTCGCAACATTTTAACTATAAATAGTTGAAAGTAGAGTAAACGTTGGAGATAAATAAATGAAAATAAAATTTAAAAACATGAAATTAGCAACATTTGAAAAACTCGATTGTAACTAAAACTCTCAATAAGAAAAAGCTAATTAAGGATATTAAAGATTATGTTCCTCAATTACGTAAATTGAATGTTGGTTATAGGATTAAATGTAGACTGTCCAAAGCCGTATTTGGGGTGAACCAGTAGAAAGCTGTTAAGACGAATGAATGGACATAGGAAAATCAAAGACCTTACTTCTCATCAGAATTATGTTTCCAAACAATGCATGAAACTTAATATTTTTTTTGACTTCTCAAGCCAAAAATATTTGATGTTGAAATACGTGAGTATCAGCAGTTGATCTCAAAAAACCTTGCGATAAAGATTAATGATTCTATAAATATTGTTCTTGAAAGTAACCAATTCACTAAATTATATAATTCCCATCAGGTTAAGAATTCCCATTAAAAACGTTTTGGCTTTTTCTGGCATTTACAAGTTCTTCACCTTAGATTTCATATGAATTTGGCCCTCTTTTCCCTCTCCCCTACTTTCCCCTCCCTCCCTCCCTCCCTCTACTTCCCTCCTCCCTCCCGTCCCTCCTCCCATCCTTCCTCCCTACATCCTTCCTCCTCCCTCCTCCCTTCCTCCCCTTCCCTCCCTCCCTCCATCCTTCCTCTCCCCTTCCTCCCTCCCTTTCCTCCTCCCTTCTCCCTCTCACCCTTCCTCCCTCTCACCCTTCCTCCCTCTCACCCTTCTTCCTCTCACCCTTCCTCCCTCCCTCCCTCCTCCCTCCCTCCCATCCTTCTCCCTTCCTCCCCCCCTCCCTTCCTCCCTCCTCCCTCCCATCCTTCTCCTCCCTCCCTCCATCCTTCCTCCCTCCCTTCCCTCCCTTCCTTCCTCCCTCTCACCCTTTTCCTCCCTGCTCACCTTCCTTCCTCTCACCTTCCTTCTCTCAACCCTCCTTCCTCTCACCCTTCCTTCCTCTCACCGCTTCTTCTTCCTTCTTCCTTCCTTCCTTCCCTTCCTTCCTTCCCTTCCTTCTTCCTTCCTTCTTCCTTCCTTCCTTCCTTCCTTCCTTTCCTTTCCTTCCTTCCTTCCTTCCTTCCTTCCTTCCTTCCTTCCTTCCTTCCTTCCTCTTCCTTCCTTCCTCATTCCTTCCTTCCTTACCTTCCTCCTTCCTTCCTTCCTCCTTCCTTCCTTCTTCCTCCTTCCTTCCTTCTTCCTTCCTTCCTTCCTTCCTTCCTTCCTTCCTTCCTCTCCTTCCTTCCTTCATTCCTTCCTTCCTTCCTTCGCTTCCTCCTTCCTTCTTCCTTCCTTCCTTCCCTTCCTTCCTTGCCTTCCTTCCTTCCTTCCTTCTTCCTTCCCTTCCTTTCTTCCTTCCTTCTTCCTTCCTTCCTTCCTTCCTTCCTTCCTTCCTTCCTTCCTTCCTTTCCCTTCTTCCTTCCTTCTTCCTTCCTTCCTTCCTTCCTTCCTTCCTTCCTTCCTTCCTTCCTTCCTTCCTTCTTCCTTCCTTCCTTCCTTCCTTCCTTCCTTCCTTCCTTCCTTCCTCTTCCTTCCTTCTCCTTCCTTCCTTCCTTCCTCCTTCCTTCCCTTCCCTTCCTTCCTTCCCTTCTTCCTTTTCCTTCCTTCCTTCCTTCCTTCTTCCTTCCTTCCTTCCTTCCTTCCTTCCTTCCTTCCTTCCTTCCCTTCCTTCCTTCCTTCCTTCCCTTCCTTCTTCCTTCCTTCTCCTCCTTCCTTCCTTCCTTCCTTCCTTCTCCTTCCTTCCTTCCTTCCTATCTTCCTTCCTTCCTTCCTATCTTCCTTCCTTTCCTTCCTTCCTCCTTCCTTCCTTCCTTTCCTTCCTTCCTTCCTTCTTCCTTCCTTCCTTCCTTCCTTCCTTCCTTCCTTCTTCTTCTTCTTCCTTCCCCTTCCTTCCTTCCCTTCCTTCCTTTCCTTCCTTCCTTCCTTCCTTCCTTCCTTCCTCTCCTTCCTTCCTTCCTTCCCTTCGCTTCCTTCTTCCTTCCTTCCTACCTTCCTTCCTTCCTTCTCCTTCCTTCCTTCCTTCCTTCCTTCTTCTTCCTTCCTTCCTTCCTTCCTTCTTCCTTCCTTCCCTTCCTTCCCTTCCTTCCTTCCCTTCCTTCCTTCCTTCCTATCCTTCCTTCCTTTCCTTCCTTCCTTCCTTTCCTTCCTTCCTTCCTTCCTTCCTTCCTTCCTTCCTTTCGCCCCCTTCATTCCTTCCTTCCTTCCTTCCTTCCTTCCTTCCTCCCTTCCTCCCTTCCTCCCTTCCTTCCTTCCTTCCGTCCGTCCGTCCGAACTCACTCACTCACTCACACACACACTACTCGACCCCCAAATGCATACAAACAAGATGTGGCCGGTAATTTCCTAATTCACTCTATGTTGGCCATCTGACAAGGCCTTTTGCCGATATTTGGCAAAATATTTAATTTTATGGGCTCTGCTATGTCTGGTACAAACGATATGTATATCATAGCATTTCTTTTGTATTACATTCTAAACTTGATTTCTAACATTTTAATGTAATATTTTTGAAATTTTAATAATGATGATGATGATGGGGACGACCTATTTCCGAAATGTGTTGCAAATCATGTTGAAACCTGAAAAATAAAGAACGTGATGCCACAAATTGTCTGTCTGTAAAAGTATTTGGGCCTCCTCACCTTAAGACCTTTTAGAGTATTTTTTAACCCTCCATTGGTTATATTCGATGGTATGTGATGAAATGTTGATTTTTCTATTTATTCCGTAGAGAATTAGCTCCTGAATTGTGGCAGGCTGTTACTGATTTGGAAGTTGAGAAGACAAGCTCTAATACTTTTCAAGTTGTTTGCCCAATTGTGATAAAAAATGGATTTAATCTTGCATGGGAAAATGGTAAGATTACTTTGTAATATGACAAGAAGCACAAGGTAAAATTTATTGAACATGTTCAACTTTTTCCCTAACATTTTAGGAGTACAGCATGTTCTCGAATAGTTTACCAACCCTTTAACTGTCATGTATGTTAATCTTAAAATTGCACTGCCAGGCCACCACTAATAATACCACAGCATGTGCATCAGAATTATACCTACGGACTCACCTTGTGGGAAAAATTTGATACAGGCAGGCATGGCAGTCTAAGAGGTTACTTGTTCTTTTGTTCCTTCACACTCCTTCCAATTTGTCCTCTGTCTTCCACTTGAGAATAAGAAATTTTGACAAATGTTTATTCTTTACAGATGTATTGTTTCCATTTATCACTTTGAATGTTAAGAGACCAGTTTTCAGTTGTTTTCTTTTTTTGACAATTTCATATATAAATTCGATTAATTTATCAATCTAGCTTGACATTAAATTTTGTTTGAACTGTGTTAAGTTAATGTCAAATTTATTATAATATTTCTCTTTGTATAATACTGTATCACTTACATTGTGCTGTTTTACTCCCTGGTAGGAGAACTGTATATGACTCATGTGGCATCCACTATTCGACATTATGGCATAAGAGAACTTGAAGAGATTTTAACATTAATGAAAGATTCATCACAACTTTCACATTGCCGGCCGGTGAAAGTTGCAGCATTGTTTGAGGTACTCAATGATGTTGTACAAGAATTTTTAAATCATTATCTTCCCTTGTGTCCTTTCATAGTAGTGGTTGAAAAAGTGTTTTTCCATGCTCAGAGGAATTATCATGCTGTTCAGTTACTAGTCAATAGTGGTGCAATTCCCCCACTACTTTTGATATTCTTGAGATTTCAAATGATTTCAAATGCATTAACAGGATTAATGTTAAGACAATAAGCTAGTGTAAGAAAAGAGATCTAGTTGTTTGTCTTTGCAAAATTTCAATATATCGCATTGTTAAGATTAAGATCTGCTAGTATTCCCACTTACTGGCTTTCAAATGAAGTTTCTAGTTTTCCTCTGAGTACTTGTTGCTCTTCATATTTCGGATGGCTGCCCTTTCATTTTAACTCTAGTGCTTTCATAACAGAAAGTATTGTAACTGTGCACCGAAAAATGGTGATATTTATTGTCTCGGATACAACGTGCATAGTACACAGAAAGATATGTAATGCTGCAGTGAAATATGACGTTTTTCGAGAGACAAATTTGTATTTTGGAACTCTGATGCCAAAAAGAGGAAAGTTCTTGTTCCTCTATGTAGAATATGGTTTCCCCCATCATGTATGGTCAATATTCACATTTTGTGTGACCTTGATACCGAAAAATTGGTTCAGGACAAAATATCTAACTGTGAATAACACCAGTGCCTGAACTGTATATTTTACTTGAGAAAAGTGAATATCAGTAAAGGTATCAGTGACACCCAGACATTGATAAAAAGGTGGGAAATAAATCAATATATTGTTTTAAAAACTTGGAATTTCCTCTATTCATCCACAGGTATCGTTCTCCATACGTATGGCCTTATCAAAATTCGTTAAAAAAGGAGTTCCTTTAAGACTATAAAATGTACTGTAGCATTTTCCCTATATAATTTATTCAAATTACTAAACAGCACAAATGCATACTGGCAGATACCATATTTATACAGTATAAAACAGCATTCAATTCATAAATGAAGTACATGAAATACATATTCTCAATAACTACATAATGATATAACTTGATATTGTTTCTACGTTTCCTTCATTGCCACACCAGTTAATTTATGATGTCTAAGAATGTACAGGATACTTCAAAAATTACAATCTCTGAAATTCTGATTGCACTAAGAATAATTCTCAGTAACATATCTTGTAAATTTAGCTCAACATTTTTTTCAACAAATTAGAGGTCCCATTAGTAATTTTTTTTGTTTGTGAACTTGTAACGAGAAATGTTGAAAATTCTGTTTTACCGAAAACTGAACATTTGTTTTATCAATGCTAAAAAAAGATTAAAATTTAAATTGAATTTTAAAAGATTGTTGTGAAACATCTCTCTTTCAGAGCAAAAACGTTTGTGTGTCTATTGCCTGTTGTTGGTTTAACAATAAGCACTGCTTCTTTTTAATTTTTAGGCTCCTGAATTGTATGTTTCTAGTGTCTAAAATTCAATGTCTAATAATATATTGTCTTGGGGTAGTGACTAATTGTAAGAATTGAATGATGAAGATTTTCATTAAATGTAATTATTCTCTCTCTTTTTTTTTTTTTTGAAGAATCAAGCAGTTCGCTACTCCAGTGAGAAGCAGCCAATCATTGCCAGAAAAGAAATGATGAAACTCTTGGAATTGTGGAGTACTGGGGAGGATCAATTTTGCCTTCATCAAAAACCAATTTTCAGGCCGTTAAATACTTTACCAAAAACTAGTCCACCTGAATTTTCTTGAAATTGCAGTAATTTAGATTATGATAACGTCCTATCAGGTTACAGGACAGCTGTTGTTGACCTTCATTGTCATTCTGTGATATCAGCCGAGAAGAAAGCTGACACATAGCGTACAGTAAAAAGGGTGTTCGTCCTTTTTGTATATGTTTACTATACTATGAATTTTTTTATGAAAATAAAGGAGGATTATGATCTATATTGATTTATTATATGAATCCTGTAAGTCAGATTGTAGTTTTGTTTTATTATCTCTATTTGTGCCTAAATTGTCTCTACATTATTCTTTGGTGAGAACATAAATGAAAGGCATACTAAGTATAGAATAAATCCATGGTGAGTTTTCACAACCTTAACTTAAACTACTGGTGAAGTTACAAGAAGCTTGTTGCAGTTATCCAATGGCACACTTGTAGATAACTAGTTCTCTAACTGCACATACTTTCTCACATTATTTCCAACTGCTCCGCTATATTATACTACTACATAAATCTGCCAATGTGTTCTCAACCACCAGCTTTTTTTCCGTTCCAAGACTCGAACTCAGGTCCTCTGATTAAACTCGCCATGAGCCTTACCTCTACGCAATGGAAACATCATGAGTTTCGAACTCGGGCCAATGCTTAAAAATGTTTTTTTTTTTTAGAACATAGTTGAAGGTTAAAATCTCATCTTGAATGTTGTCTTGAAATCTTAACGTTTTGTAATTCCCAAAAATGCTCTTGCTAGCACTTTTTTTTTCACTGTTCTTTGATAACAGTGTCAGCTTGTGCTTAATATTTTATAATGTTAAGGAATATACATTTTCATTTTAATGACATTCAATATTCAAGGTATTGCAGCAATATCAATATGTGTGAAATAATTTTGAACCAACGAGCTCTCTCTCTCTCCGGTGTCTGGTGTTCTCTCAGGCTGTGAACCATGTCATGCTCTGAATTTGACTTGGCTCAGTTCTATGCTTCAACACAGGGCTCAATAGGACCTTCAGTTTCAACCAGTGGGTGGGGGCCTTGTAGCCGAGTGCTGCGTGGTGTTCAACGGAATATCAATTTTCTGTCTCCGTCTGACACTGGCTGTAACATAATTTTCAATTTTATCAATTTTGTATGTTATTGAAAGTACAGAAGTTCAGTCAATTATTAACAGCATTGAATACATTATTTATGTTTGAAGAATTTGATTACACTTGACATTGTGTTCATTCAAAATGTACACTGATGCCTTCTTTGTGTAAATTTGGTTGTCCTGAAAGCTAAACGGTTAAAAATCGTACTGGAAATAAAAATAAATTGAAAGTATGGGGGAAAAATTATGAATGGGAATGGTAATCCAGCTGTGTGCCGAATAAAAGGTAAGAAAACTCTTGTTTTTTTTAAATTTCATTATGTTAACTAATCATATTTTCATTATGTTATTAATTAGCTTGTGAGCCACCTTCAGTTCTCTCTCTGAGGCTGTTATATTCTATCCTGGAGAGATCAACGTGTGGAATTATGGTGATCAGCCTTTCAGCTGCATCCCTTGTTTAAGACAGTTGTTAGCCTTGAATATCAATTAGGTGGAGGGGGGGCATAGAATGATACTATTATAGGGTGGTGATGAGGTGTGAAAGGACTAGGATGTTGGTAATGGGCGGTGTTCGTGGGATTTTAGAACCATCCCAGCATTCGCCTTATGACCGAAGAAAATCACGAAAACCCCGGTCAGGATGACTGGCCCAGGGATCGAACCCAGACCTCCCAATTGCGAATCCAGTGTGTTATGTACTGTGCCACTTCACTCGGTATTTGCATTATAATTATATCTATTTTAGGATCCTGAAACCAGCAATAAAGCGAGTGCATTATCCTTCCATGAAGTGAGAGTGGAAAGGGCACCTGGCGGAGAAGAATTTCTTCAAAATTGTACTGAGAGAAGCTGTGGTACTCCTGCGAGGGTGCTATCTCACCCTGTTAAAAGAAAAATGATATTAGAATTAGAGACTGAAGAAACAAACATTTATCAAACGATGAGTTAACAAGGCTTGTGCTATTGGAAGTGTTGCTGTTTAAAAAAGAAAGATGAAATATGGGAGAAGAGTGTCATCATCATACTGGGTACATGACAATATGGAGACCGGGAATAAGAGTGAAAAACTTATCTGTCAGAACTGCAAAAAATCTGTATCTAAAACTTTATTAATTGTATAAACTGTCACGCATCATCTTACCCAAAAGTTGTGAAGCAAAATAAATTTTAAATTAGAAAAAACTAATAGATAAACAGAAATTGAATCCGAAACTAGTTATCAAGTATATTAGAGGTAACCCGCGGATTATTCATGTGAAGGGAAACGGCATGAGGCAGCAACAAACAATCGAGTAATTAATCCTAAAATTTTGTATACCAATGTATCATCTCTCATCCCCAAGTTCGACCAATTTCTCTCAGATGTTAACTCTGACGGCATTGTTCTGTCCGTCCTTCCGTTTGTCTAGGGTCAATGCTAGCGCCTGAGCTGTTCAGACGGTTTTCTTGAAGATTGTTATTTCCATCGATCTGGGGGAAATCGAGGCCTTGCGAATTGGAAACGGGTATGCCGACCTTTGCAGTACTTTACACGAAGACTCAAAAACGGCTTCAATTTTTATGGAACATTGTCCTTGGATAGCGAACTCTTGAAAGAACGCCACATATTTCATTTTCGTTGAAGTTCCTAAGTTTTCGAGAATTGCCAAAGTTCGACATTTTTTTCGACGACTTTTTACAACTACAATATTGAAGACAGGTTTTTCTTAATAAAATCGTGTTAAAAGACTGTACTTGACCATGTTTCAAGAACTATTTTCGAAGAACATGAGTAACTTTCACGTTATTTTGCGTGAAGTATAAGCAATTAAAAAAAAAATGATTTTCTAAAAAACGACTCGACTTTTTTTCTCGTACGAAATACGTAAAGGGACACTTGATCGAAAGGGACAGGGGATCTCGTACGTGATACGCAGCAAAGGGAGGTTAAAAAATGGTGCTGGTCTCATTTTCGCAACCGGTCCACATTGCAAAATCGAACTATATTTTCTAAAATTGCAAAAAAATAACACTGCAAAAGTAGAGATTTTCGTATTAAATTAAATCAGTTGTAAAAAATTGACATTTAAAGATGGTCATATACTAAAAAAAAGTAGTTTTCATGTAATTTTTGATTGAAGTTGCTTCAAATTATAAAAAACAATTATCAGAAACGATACCAAATTTTTTCTTAATTTTTGCTATTATGGAGATTAAAAAGACGCAAAATATTTCTAAGAACGATTAAAATTACTCAAGTCTCATTTTCCTCAAATATCTGAATTTTTAAAAACATTTGATGCGTCTCTGAACCCTTGTTGGGCGTTGAGCGCCTAGCATGGAGTAAACCTCCCTAATTATTTTTGTCAAGACTCGTCACATTGCAGTCTGTGCTTCTTATCCCTTCAGCCAAGGGCTCGGGCCCGTTTGATCCCGGGGTTCCTAGTCGTCACCCAACCAGGAATCCGCGATGACTCAAATTCGCTTATCCTCCGTGACTTCACAGAGCATAGTTAAGAAATTCGACTAGTGACGCCTCAGCTAATGTTCGAAAATTGCGAGAAAATATGAACTGTTTTAGCTCCATTAATTTTATCAAAGTTATGTTTCACCGTTTAGAGGAGTGTCAGTCATAGTGGCGTACGAATACGCAAAAACTTTCGGACGCGTTTTCACTTTTGATTCTTCATTATGACAGTATATGTAAAAATGCAGTAGGACGCCCAATTCGGTCGGGCGTAGCTTGTGACGCCATTAAAGTTGGCAAAAAATTATCATTTTGACACAAATGTCTTTACACACTTTTTGATATCTCGTACCATTTCTGAGTTAGAATGTTCTGTAAGTAAAAGTAAGTGAAGTAAAAAGTTGCTCTGGACGTATAAAAATTGTCATATGAAGCAGATTTTAGAAAAGTACCTTGCGATTCCTTATCAGACTTTGATGCAATTTTGTATGTCGAGTCCCACTAATCTCAAAAGATCATGTCTTCTTGAAAGGAACAATCAGACATTGCAATAATTTTGATGAAATGCTAAGCACTGCCACTGAGTTTGCTAATTCGTGCATTGTAGATGCAGATCCCCCCCCCCCACCTACTCGCAGGCGATGTTCTATTATCATGTTCTATTAAACTATGTTCGCTTATGAACATAACGATGTCGGTACAAATGACCCAAAAGACTGTCCACATGCCGTATGAACCGCATTTCCGAATAGAGGACTATATTGACACCAGTTTTATCTATAGAGGAAAGGTTTCAATTGTTTAAAGAGCAAAGTGATGCATTTAATTTTGTATGTCTTCAACAAAGTAGAGAAAATCAGTTGACCAGACGTATTAAAATAGTGATGCTACAGAATGGCACAGACTTTCCCGAATTAGTTTTCTATTTCCTTTGGTCTTGGCTAGCTACACGAACTTGCCACATACTCTTGCCAGCTACAATTTATCGCCGTCCAAAGTATATTTTTTTGTCAAATTTTCTTAATTTTTCGGTTTCCTAATACTACAACGGAAATATTATTTTATGAATATTAAAGAACAGTAAAACCTCGTCCTAAATAGCATTTTTCTTTGAAAAATTTGCAGCCAATTTTTGAGTTTTCGAAAATCTTTATTTGAAGTCATTTGATGTACTTTAACTCACAAATACTATAGTGTTTACAAATTGCTGGAAATATGCATATTAACGGCGTGAGAGATCGAAAATACTTTGCGTCTAGCACTATCCGTTCGAAAAATTTGAAGAAAAAATGTGGAGCTGTTTTTGTGAAAATGGTCGGCAGGTACTGAAAAAGCGGGGTTACCTGGGAAAAGGTCATAAAATCTTTTTCTTTTGGTTTTGTATCCTGCAGTAGCGATGGGTGAATTAAATTGAAGGGTATTGCAAAAGCAAATGGTCTGTGGCGTCTTGCCGGGGCAATAAATTACAGACGTGAACGGCTTGTAAATATTTAGTATTTATTAGAAATAAAATACTCCGACACCATAATACTACATACAATATTTACAAATAAATTGACCGTTACAAGAAGGAACTTTCCCTGGTTACCACCACCGCTGGCCCGATAATTAATTACCATGTTCGGTGTGATGCACCAGTACCTTACGCGAGCATACCAGCGCGTATGCCGCACCTACCGTCACGACGTAGCACGCCGGCTTC